GACCATTATATAGTATAAACAATTCCTTTCAAATTTTATTCTAAATAGAAATTAAACGGATTAATTAAATAAACGCTTTATTATTTAAATACTTTTACGGACTTTAGAGCAGTATAAAAATTTGTTCACTATAAAGTTTATTGATATTCATTTACATTCTTGAAATATATTTTAGACAATCTAATGAAAGAATATACTTGTTATCTACCCATTCTTTATATACATTACATTAAATAAGCACTGATGGTATAGACTTTTCGATAAAAATTATAAACATTGCATATAATTGTAACATATTTCAAAGCTTAGTTTATATAAACAGTATATGACTGCTAAAAATACTGTGGAGGCTATAGATTTATGTTCGAAAGAGGATTTTTATATTTGGTTCAACTTTAAATTTCAACAAACCATCTGTTATCCTTTGTAATTAAAATAATCTTTATATTTAAATCTCAGATATTTAAATTAAAACTGTTATTAAGAAAATAATATTACCAATTAAGAAAAAAATAAAAATATGGTAATGGCCTTAGATAAAATTTCAATTAACCTATTCATTATGAATAAAAAGATTTAATTGCAAAATCATTTTATAATAAATCAAATAATTTAATAAAAGAAACCAAGCATGAAAATGATAAATTAAACAAAATTTTCACAAGCATTTAATTCAAGTAACCCAAGAGAACCAATTTAATTTTTAATCACATTCATTGTCTGAGAACATTTGTCTTTTTTTATACCACTTAGTGTCACTAATTTGAAATAGAGAAAATCCCCACAAAAGTTCTTCCCTTTTCGTCGCCCTGAGGCCTTATATACACACTTCAAATATTTACATCTCTTTGTCTCCTTCTCATCTTCTATTTAACCCCATAAGAGGAACACTTAAAGAAATTGAAGGCAAGCTTAAACTATCAATTCGATGATCGTATTAAATAATTAGTGATGGTAAGACCTTTTTAATCGCATTATGAGGAGAAAAGATCTGTCCTTCACTTTTTCCCTATTCCTAATTTTACTGTCCTAAATGCGGCAAAGAAGTTAAAGTAAAGAAAAGGGAAGTGAGTGAAAAAAAAAAGTCTTTGAAACTGCCCGGGTAACTTTCTTTTACCCTTTTATGTAATTGTGACCTCGTCGTCGTTAAATTACTTCTTTCTTCCCTTCATCAAAGCTTTTCCAAGTGGTCACACGAAATCAAGGCGGTAGAAAGAAGTGCCGAGTTGGAAATCTGACAAAATAGAAGTTCCAGTAATAAGCGGTAATGTGAAATTACCGGGACTTTGAACTGGTCCTGCAATTAAGTTAGTTCCAAACCTAGTCAGTGTATCGTACATAATTAAGGTTATATTAAGAAATTAGTGATTACATAAAAGTGTAGACAATCAGAAGCATTAAAGGAATGATGAATGTATTTGGCTTACATTTTATTTTTGTAAAAGAACAAAAAAATGTGTATTAATAAGAAAATGGCAGTTACAACACCATTTGCCAATTCAATACAATTATTGAATTTACTATAGACAACGAATTACAGCTCTTAAAAAACATACATATTTATTGTTATTTAAGAGTAATGTTATTATGCTAATGAAAATTATGATTCATGAACAAGAAAATAAAAAAATTATCAACCTTATAACAATATCGGATTTATCGCAATTATAAAATGCTACTGCTATGTAAATATGTTCTAAAATTTAGAAACATGATTTTAACAACATAGATATTGTCGTAAACACAATGTAAAATAATTTTTTTGCTTGGTGTATTAATAATCAGAATAATAATCAAATACAAATAAAATTTTACTAATGATAATAATCTATGGACCATTATATAGTATAAACAATTCCTTTTAAATTTTATTTTAAAAAGAAATTTGAAGAATTAATTATGGAAACACTTAATTATTTAAAAAGTTTTACTTAGGAGAGTATAAAAATTTGTCTACTATCATGTTTATGGATATTCAATTATATTCTTGGAATATATTTTGAACAAATTAATGAAACAATGCAGTTATTATCTACTTGCTCTTTACACATATCCCATTAAATAAGCACTGATGCCATAGATTTTTTGATAAAAATTATATATATGATATGTAATTATAAGATTTTTCAAATTATGAAATTAGGATATTGTTGCTAAAAATATTAATGGATGCTATAGATTTATGTTGAGAATTTTTTATTTTGATCATCTTTATATTTCAACAAACCACCTGTTATTCTTTGTAATTAACGTAATATACATATTTAAATATAAAATATTTGAATTAAAACTATTATTAAGAAAATAATATTAATGGTTTTGAATAAATAAAAATTTGTTAAATGCCTTAGATAAAATCCTAATTAACATATTTATTATGAAAAAGAGTTATATTCTTTCTAATATATTCTTTACACATATTCCATTAAATAAGCACTGATGCTATAGATTTATAGATGACTTATAGATTTTTCGATAAAAATATACATATGGCATATAATTATAGGACTTTTTCAAACTCAAGTTACAAAACTAGGATATTACTCCTAAACATATTAGTGGATGCTATGGATTTATGTTCAAAAGAAGATTTTTATATTTTGATCAACTTTAGGTTTCAATAAACCACCTATTATATTTTGAAATTAAAATAATATACATATTTAAATCTCATATATTTGAATTAACACTATTATTAAGAAAGTAATATTATTAATTACGTAAAAATATAAATATTCTAAATGCTTTAGATAAAACCCTAATTAACATATTTATTATGAAAATAAAAGATTCAATTGCTAACATCATTTTGTAACAATTCAGACGATTTAATAAACGAAAATATGTATGAAAAAAATAAAAAAAATAATCATTTCATAAGCATTTAAAATTAAATGAATTAAAAGTATTATTAACAAAATAATATTATTGGTAATGAAAAAATAAAAATATGTTAAATGCCTGAGATAAAATCCTAATCACCATACTTATTATGAAAATAAAAGATTCAATTGCTAAAATCATTTTATAATAATTCAGATGATTTAATAAACGAAAACTGATATGAAAAAAATAAATTAAACAATTATGTTGTAAGCATTTAATTCAAGTAACCCCAGAGAATCAATTTAATTTTCAATCAAATTCAGTGTCTGCGAACATTTGTCTTTTTTTATACCACTTAGTGTCACTAATTTCAAATAAAAAAAATCACCACACAAGTTCTTCCCCTTTCGTCGCCCTGAGGCATTATATACACAACTCAAATATTTACATCTCTCTGTCTCTTTCTCGTCTTCTATTTAACCCCATAAGAGGAACACTTAAAGAAATTGATGGCAAGCTTAAACTATCAATTCGATGATCGTATTAAATAATTAGCGATGGTAAGGCCTTTTTAATCGCATTATGAGAAGAAAGATCTGTCCTTCACTTTTTCCCTATTCCTAATTTTATTGTCCCTAAATGCGGCAAAGAAGTTGAAGTGAAGAAAAGGTAAGTGAGTGAAAAAAAAAAGTATTTGAAACTGCCCGGGGAACTTTCTTTTACCCTTTTATGTAATTGTGACCTCGTCGTCGTTAAATTACTTCTTTCTTCCCTTCATCAAAGCTTTTTCAAATGGTCACACGAAATCAAGGCGGTAGAAAGAAGTGCCGAGTTGGAAATCGGACAAAATAGAAGTTCCAGTAATAAGCGGTAATGTGAAATTACCGGGACTTTGAACTGGTCCTGCAATTAAGTTAGTTCCAAACCTAGTCAGTGTATCGTACATAATTAAGGTTATATTAAGAAATTAGTGATTAGTTAAAATTGTAGACAAACAGAAATACTAAAATAATGATGAATGTATTTGACTTGCACTTTTCTTTTGTAAAAGAACAAAAAAATGTGTATTGAGGGGAAAATGCCAGCTACAACACCATTTGCCAATTCACTTCAATTATTGAATTTACTATAGACACAGAATTATAGCACTTAAAAAAAGTAAATATTTATTGTTTTCACACAGTTATTGTAAGTAGTTATTGTTATTATGTTAATCAAAATTGTCATTCATGTAAAAGAAAATAAAAATATCCACCCTATAACAATATCGGATTTATCACAATTATGAAATGCTGCTGCTATGTAAATAGGTTTCAAAATTGAGAAAAATGCTTTTAACAACTATTTAATGTCTTAAACACAATCTAAAATAATGTTTCCGCTTGTTTATTTGATAATCGAAATAATCGTTAAATGCAAATACAACTTTACCTATCATAATAATGTGCGGACCATTATAGCGTATAAACAATTCCTTTCAAATTTTATTCTAAATAGAAATTAGAAAAATTAATTATGTAAACATTTAATTACTTAAGTAGTTTTACTTACATTAGGACAGTATAAAAATTTGTTTACTATCATGTTTATTGATATTCATTTACATTCTTGAAATATATTTTTAAGTAACAAATAAAAGAATATATTTATTATCTGCCTATACATAATACATATTCCATTATATAAGCCCTGATGCTGCCGATTTTTCAATAAAAATTATATATATGGCATATAATTATCAGATTCTCAAAGTACAAATTATAAAACTAGGATTTTACTGCTAAAAATATGAATGGATGATATAGATTTATGTTCAAAAGAAGATTTTTATATTTTAATCACCTTTATATTTTAACAAACCATCAATTACCATTTGTAATTAAACTAATCTTCATATTTAAATCTGAGATATTTGAATTAAAATTATTATTAAGAAAATAATATTATTGACTATAAAAAAGAAAAACACGATAAATGGCTTAGAAAAAATCCTAATTAACATATTTACTATAAAAATAAAAGATGCAATTGCTAAAATCATTTTATAATAATACAGTTGATTTAATAATTGGAAACAATTACTAAAATATTTCATTGATTTACGAACAATAAAATATATTTATTATTTTCCTATGCTTTATACATAATTCCTATGCTTTATAATTTATTATGCCAACGGCCGTACCATGCTGAATATACCGGTTCTCGTTAGATCACCGAAGTCAAGCATCATTATGCGCTGTCAATACTTGGGTGGGTGACCACTTATGGAACTTACCGCGTGTCGTTTTTGTAAATTTGGATGATTTAAATGGCAATGTATGAAATAATCTGACACTCGGCGCCACGATAGAATATATTTATTATCTTCGGTGCCATACTTTTTGGTTCGGAATTCCTTTAAATAAGCACTGATATTGTAGAGTTATTTTAATATATATACATCGTATAGGAAATTTATATATATATAGCTATCATATAATTATACGATTTTTCAAAACTCAAATTATAAAACTAGAGTATTGCTGCTAAAAATATTAATTGATGCTATATATTTATGTCCAAACGAAGATTTTTATATTTTGTTCACCTTTATATTTCAACAAACCACCTATTATCTTTTGTAATTAAAATAATATTCATATTTAAATCTGAGCTAATTGAATTAAAATTATTATTAAGAAAGTATTATTGTTAATTATGAAAAAATAAAAATATGTTAATTGCCTGAGATAAAATCCTAATTACCATATTTATTATGAAAATAAAAGATTCAATTGCTAAAATCATTTTATAATAATTCAGATGATTTAATAAACGAAAACAAGTCTGAAAATAATAAATTAAACTTTTATTTCGTAAGCATTTAATTCAAGTTACCCCAGAGAATCAATCTAAATTTTAATCAAATTCATTTTCTGAGAGCATTTGTTCTTTTTTTATACTACTTGGTGTCACTAATTTGAAATAAAAAAAATCCCCACAAAAGTTCTTCCCCTTTCGTCGCCCTGAGGCCTTACATACACACCTCAAATATTTACATCTCTCTGTCTCTTTCTCGTCTTCTATTTAACCCCACAAGAGGAACACTTAAAGAAATTGAAGGCAAGCTTAAACTATCAATTCGATGATCGTATTAAATAATTAGTGATGGTAAGACCTTTTTAATCGCATTATGAGGAGAAATGTCTCTCCTTCACTTTTTCCCTATTCCTAATTTTATTGTCCCTAAATGCGGCAAGAAGTTAAAGTAAAGAAAAGGGAAGTGAGGGGAAAAAAGTCTCTGAAAACTGGCTGGGGGAAGTTTCTTTACCCTTTAATGTAATTGTGACTTTGTCGTTAAATTATTTCTTTCTTCCCTTCTACAAAGCTTTTCCAAGAGGCCACACGAAATCAAGGCGGTAGAAAGAAATGCCGAGTTGGAAATCTGACAAAATAGAAGTTCCAGTAATAAGCGGTGATGTAAAATTACCGAGACTTTGAACTGGATCTGCAATTAAGTTAGTTCTAAATCTAGTCAGTGTATCGTAAGTAATTAAGGTTATATTAAGAAATTAGTGATTAGTTAAACGTTTAGACAACCAAGAAACATTAAAGCAATGATGAATGTATTTTGTTTACATTTTGGTTTTGTAAAAAACAAAATATGTATTTCAATGAGTAAATGACAGTTACAATACCATTTGCCAATTCAGTGCAATTATTGAATTTACTATAGATTGTGAATTATAGCTCTTATATAAAAGATTATTGTTATTACAAAAACATTATTGTTATTTAAGAGCTGAATTGAGAACTTTATAAATTTTATATAATTTTTCCTAAAATATATGAATAGCTCCAAAACATTCAATAATATTATCAAATTTTTCAGACAATTTTTTAATTTAAACCTTTAGCCGACTAATTAAATTTGAATAAAAATCGAGCGAAAGGAATAACTTTGACATTCCAAAAAGCGTAACTGAATTCATTTGAAAAGAAATCTACAATAGTAATTTAGCAACAAAAATTTGACCAGTAAAAAAATTACTTGAATATGATAATATAAAATAATGAACAAATTCTTAAGAAATTAAGCATTTTCTTTTTTTAAATTAACATTTTAATTGTGACGTATAAAATTTGAAATACAAAGTTTCGAGCTCCGATAGTTTGCTTTGAGTATTACGCATTCATTTATATCAATTGCTTCACCACGTACATTGATTGAGACATTTCAAAAAAAAATTTAACTATTAACAGTATTTTTGTGTTTAACTAATTAAATACAGATGATAATGCATCGGTAAGAATCGAAAATTTAATGAGTGGATTACGAAGTTTTATTTCACCATCCCTTAATGCTCTTGTCGCTTGCCCTTAATGTCAGTAATAGTTTCTTTTTTGCAAATTTGCGAATGATTACATGAACACGTATCTATAATATAATGGCAAAAGTGTTATACTAATATATATATATATGTATATCACTGCTTCGGAAAATGTGCTTCAAATCTTTGAAGTCTTTCAGAACCAGGCGTTGGTGAGATCTACCCCTGTTCTTGCAAGAAGCTCTTGATCGGATAGGAGCCTGTCCGTGATTTTATTACAAGAGAAACGATCCTATTATCCGAGAAGCTTATTCGTTTATCCGACAACTCTTTTTGGATGAGGTATAAGAATCAAATGTCTAGAAAACTTAAAACCAAATTGGATTTATCCAGGCTTCTCAGAGAGATTCTGATGCTTTGGAATTGAGCCGAGATTATTTAATTTTACCTCCTCCTCCTTGTCCCTTGGACTTTTTGAATTTGAATATAAATCTTGATGTTATGCAAGGAATTGTTAAAAACTTGAGGGATTCACAATTTGAATATATTGCCATGGAGACAATTAAAATTCGTTATCCCAGAGTGAATGGATGCGTGTCATGTAGCAGGTGTCCATAGTATGCTTTTTAGTTTCTATTTACCTGTGGGTCCTTTTACTACTACCGTTGATGGTGAAATTGATGCGATTGCTGTGCCTATCCAACAACTGTCGATTTGTACCAACTCCTTTATAAAATCAGTCTCTTTTTTTTTTTTTTTACTACAGGAGTGAACTTCAAACCCTTTTGAATAATCAAAATAGTTCCCAATGAATCTTGAACAGTAGGCCCTTGTTTAAGATACTGGAAAACATAATTTATTTCCAGTGGATTGCATCCCACTATGTAATTAAACAAAAAAAACGTAGCAAGAAAAAAACGATATACTGGCTAAGAAAGGAGCTTTGATAAGAGCAACGCATCAATCGACATATTTTATTTCATACGACTAATTTGTTTGTTAATTTGACTCTTAAGAAATTCTTAAACAAGATATGATTCTTCACCTATAGATAAGAGATGGAGAATTCTGGGGAAAAAGATAACTTTTCCCAGTTTTTCAAAGACAGAGGTGGTTCTATTTAAACATTTGTTTAGTTATGACTTTTTATTTGTCCGCCTCGATATAATTGGAAAGGTGAACTCCCCAACTCAGTTTTGTGAGAGTCTATTCGATCTAAAACTTTTCAACAGTTAAATAATTGTAATACACTTTCACGGCATGAGGACATGGTAAAAAATACTGGAGAGCCCGTAAGCTATTAGCTTAGGCACCAATAAATTCTTAAATAATATGGAACTAACTAGAATTCTTTAATAGTAACTAATAATAACTATCAATAAATAAAATTGAATTTATTAATAATGAATTTGACAACAATAAATTGACTATTTAACACATCCTCTTAAAATGCACTATTCGTCTACAAATAATTTCATAAAAAGCACATTAAAGGCAAATGATTAAAATATAAAAGAAATTATTTTTCGTAATATGTTTAAAACATAATTGTACAATGTACAAATGTAATTAATTACAATGTAATTAATTAATTACGATGTAATTGTAATGTAATTAATCATATAATCAGTCTAAGAAAAAAATGTTTTATTTGTTATAGATGGATGATGAGCTTAAAAAAACCTGGAACTTTAGGAATTCATCCAAAATTTTACAAGCAATGCCCAACCAAAATCTTTCTTGTTTTTTGTCGGGCATTATCATTATACTAAGCAAATTATTATAAGTAAATCTCTTTACCATACAGTCTATCTATTGAGCTTGAAGCAAACGGTAGTTAGATTTAAGCTCACAAGAGGCTACTTTCGGGAAATGCTTTGTTAAAATAGTAGTTGTATTATATAAGAGCAATGTATAGGCTTTCTTTATTGTAAATTTAAAGTTGAATCTGTTGCATATCTGATAATTTAATGATGAATTTTTGAAACAAAAAAGGGTGACAGTTGAAAACATCAACAATACATCACATTCCATTATTTAAAAGCAATCATACATTTTTATGCATTAGTTTTAATTTATATTCAAAGACTTACCAATGGAACAGCATAGTTTTCAAAATTATTGTTAAGATAAATAAGATAAAATAAATCACTTCGGTACAGAGCAAAGCAAGTCAAAACACACATAATCGCTTGGGGGGAAGTGATGCATTAGCAGAATTTACATTAACCCTGTACTTCTTGACACTTGATGTTAAATGGTCTTTGCCTGGAGCAATATTCGGTCCACCATGTAGCAAAATCTCTCTCGAGAATTTCCAAAACCCAGTTTTGATTTTTTGATTCATGAAACAGAATTTAAAAGCCGTTACGCCGAAAATGAAAGGTGACAACTCCGATCTTAATGAAAAGTGAATGACGCTTGGCATCATCACAAATGCATTAACTCTAAATTGCTTCAAGAACACAGGGAGGAAAAGCTCCATTGATCACCGAGGCCCCGTTGGATGGAAAAATGACGCAAGTTCTACAATAATTACGTGGATTGAAATACGCCATACCATCTGGAAGACTGGGTTGTTGTATTTTATTTTATTTTTTCTTTCTTTCTCGTGTCCTTAACTAGAAAGATGGTGATCTCTTATGTAGGCAATTTATATAAAGATAAAGTAAAAGACAAAAGCAATCATTATTAAATTTGTTCTGTCATCTTGCATAAAAGGGGCAAACCTTTTATTTGTTCCAACAGTGTAATTTAATAAAGGCACGGATTATGTACGTTGGGAAAAGAGTTCATTTTTCTAGTCAAGAAGAAATTGCGTAATAGCTTCATAATCTACCAAGAGTAACAAGATTACATTAGTATATAAAAATTATACAATTATTTAAAATTTCTCAAACAATATTCTAGAAATTATTAAGAAATACTATTTATGTTTTAGAATCATCCTAAGTTATATT